TGTGTGTGTGTGTGTGTGTGTGTGTTTAGAAGAGGAACTGTGGAATTGGGAGAAACAGGTGGCAAGAGGTGGGCTAGCGACTGGGCAAGCCATAGGGAGTAAAGAGATGCCAACGAGTGTTTATGGGGAGTTCCTGGCAGAGAATAGGGGCTTTTGGGGAGGGAACTTTTGTGTGTTAAACTTTTGTGTTAGAAGACAAACCACCAGGAACATGGTTTCTCTGTCCCCATGTGTACTGTAAATGTCCTTTGGGATAAAGTGCTAATCTAGTGGGCAAAACTGTGACACTGAGTCTTGCACAAAGTCTGAACCCTGAGCAGCTGTTTTTCTCACTCCTTCCGGCTTCAGTTGAGGGGCGGAGAAACAGCTTCCTCTTTATACTGGGGCCAAATAAACAAGCTTTACCCACCGAGACAAAATGCCCAGGTTGTTATTTAGCTCTTGGATAGTTGGCTTAATGTCCTGGAATTTGTTCCTGACTTGATGTCATGCTTTATAATTAATTCCCAGATTGCCTTTTCCTAAGAGAGATTGTGAGAATGAATGATGCAGGAAGAGGCAGGATAAAGGGTAGAAATACAGTGTGGTTTATTTATCTGTGCAGACTTGTTCGGATCCCAAATCCAAGTCACCTTTCTTACTGGAAAAGTCCATGGAATCATCTGTCAAGTACATCAACAAGAAATTCCCCAACATAGATGTCAGAAACAGCACGGTGAGAACTTGGTCCTTCTCTGCTTTCTCCTAAATAACTCTTGGCTTGGATGATTCCCCTCTTTTGACTGCCTGTCTTCAAACTCAGCAGGACATGAAGTAGGCTGCTTTGAGTTTTCCTAGACACCACAGGTCTTCAGACTGTTGTAGAGCTTTAGGTCTTGAGAATTCTGAGATAAGATGGGATTCTTCCAGATTAAGCCAGAGAAAAGCGTCGCTCCTTTCTCCATTGCAAGATTCATGAGAACACGTTCTTGTGCAGGAAGACAGCTCTTTCAACCCAGCAGGATGCACATATTTTATTGTTGTTCCCATTTCCCACTTAGTGTTTCCTTGCTTCTTGTCTTGGGACTATGCATTTAGTAGGATATAACATCTCCCTTATTAAATGTTAACCCTAGATATCTCACCAATTTTACTTGTTGTATCTTCTCATTCTGCTTCTTTTGATTTTGATATAAATGAAGATTGCTCAGCTGAAAGTGTCCATAAAATGTCCTCCTATTTAGTCCTCTCTATCTAGTCAGGATCACATACAACCACCCCACCCTCTGCATAAAGACCTTCAGAGCATTGGAGTTTTCAGCTTTTTCTGTCGACCCTCTTTAAAAAGTTTTAGGTGTAACCTCTGTTCTTCTTGAATTACTTTTATCAACTGTCTTCTTATTTTGTTTTGTTTTATGTTTCTCTCAGCAACATTTAGGACCAGTTCATCGTGAAAAAGCTGAGATAGTTAAATTCCTCACCAACTACTACCAGTCATTTGTGGATGTCATGGAATTTCGGGTGAGCTCTCTCTAGTCTACTTCCCTAACGTGGGCATGTCTTTCAGAAACTATTCCTTCTTTAGTAGGTGTTCATTTATATTGTTTAATCCAGGTTTTTGAAAAAATAAGAGAGAGGTACCAATATGGAAAGATATCTAAGTTGTGTTGTTAAGTGAAAGCAAACTGCAGAATAGTATATGATACATCATATTTTTACTTTAAAAGACACATAAGCTTGGCTGGGCTCAGTGGCTCAATCCTGTAATCCCAGCACTTTGGAAGGCTGAGGCGAGAGGATTGCCTGAGCCCAGGGGTTTGTGACCAGCCTGGGCAACTTGGTGAGACCTTGTCTCTACAATAAATCAAAAGATTGGCTGTGTGGTGACACACTCCTGTAGTTCCAGCTACTTGGAAGACTGAGGTGGAAGGATCACCTGAGCCTAGCAGGTTGAGGCTGCGGTGGCCGTGAGCATGCCACTGTCCTCCAGCCTGGCCGATAGAGTGACACTCTAACTAAAGAAAAAAAAAGATACATAAGCTTGTATACACATAGTGTTAATACATACCTAGGAAAGATTTGAAATTATATATGTATGTATAAAACACTACCTTTGGGGATGGATTATGATTGGCTTTCATTTACCTATATATATATTTTTTAAAAAATTGTGGCAAAATATACATAACATAAAATTTACCATCATAACCATTTTTAGGTATACAGTTCAGTGGTACTAAGAACATGTATAATATTGTGCATCTATCTTTTATTTATCTTTATTATTATTTTTTACTTATTTTAGAGTTGTGGGGCACATGTGAGGATTTGCTACATCAGTAAATTGTGTGCAGGTCGGGTTTGGGATTCTAGTAAGCCTTCTATCCCCTTGGTAAGGGACATGGTACCCAATGGATGGTAATGTATCCCTTATTCCTCACCCTTCTGTGTATCTGTTCCCTTCTTTAGCAGTGCCCAGTGTTTGTTGTTTCTGCCTTTGTGCTCACAAGCCCAATGTTCAGGGCCCATTTATGAGTGAGAACATGTAGCACTCAATTGTCTCTGTGATAGTTCACTTAAAATGATGGTCTCCAGCTGCATCCTTGTTGCCGCAAAGAACATGATTTTGTTCTTTATGGATGTATAGTATTTCATCAAGTATATGTATATGAACCACATTTTCTTTATCCAGTCCACTTTCGATGAGCATCTGGATTGGTTCCATGCTTTTGCTATTGTGAAGAGTGCTGCAATGAACATATGTGTGCAGGTGTCTTTTTGGTAGAGTGATTTATGTTCCTCTGGATTCCCAGAAGTGAGATTGCAGGGTCATATGGTAACTCAATTTTTAGTTCTTTGAGAAAACACCACACTGCTTTCCACAAAGTCTGAACTAGTTTATATTTCCAGCAACAGTATAGACGCATTCCCTTTTCTCTGCAGCCTTGCCATCACTTGTTGATTTTTGACTTTTAAATGATAGCCATTCTGATTAGTGTGACGTGGTATCTCGTTGTAGTTTTGATTTGCATTTCTCTGATGACTAGTGAAGCTGTGCATTTTTTCATGTTTGTTGGCTGCTTGTATGTCTTCCTTTGAGAAGTGTCTGTTCATGTTCACTTTTTAATGAAGTTATTTGTTTTTTCCTGTCAATTTTTAAAAGTTCCTTATAGATCCTACATGTTAGGCCTTTATATCTATCTTTTCATCTTGTAAAACTGAAACTCTCTACCCTTTAAGCAAGAACTCCCCATTTCCCCTACCCCCCAGCCCTTGGCAACCACCATTCTACTTTCTCTATGATTTTTACTACTCTAAGTACCTCATGTAAGTAGAATCATAAAGCATTTGTCTTTTTGTAACTGGCTTACTTCATTAGCATAATGTCCATAAGATTCCATCCATGTTGTAGCATACTGCAGAATTTCATTCCTTTTTAAGGCTGAATAATATTCCATTGTATGGATATTCTACATTTTACTTATTCATTCATACATTGATAGATATTTGAGTTGCCGCCACGTTTTAGCTCTTGTGAATAATGCTGCAGTGAATATGAGTGTGTAAATATCTCTCTGACACCCTACTTTCCTTTTTTTTTTTTTGAATTGGAGTCTCACTCTGTCACCCAGACTTTAGTGCAGTGGCCGCTCCCGGCCACTGCAACCTCGACCTGCTGGGCTCTGGCGATCCTTCTGCCTGAGCCTTCCAAGTAGCTGGAACTACAGGCGTGCGCAACCACGCCCGGCTAATTTTTGATTTATTGTAGAGATGAGGTCTCACCAAATTGCCCAGGGGGTCTCGAACCCACAGGCTCAGGCAATCCACTCACCTCGCCTCCTAAAACACAGGATTACAGACTGAGCCACCTAGCTCAGCTAGAGACCCTACTTTCAATTCTTTTGGGTATACACACAAAAGCAAAATTGCCAGATTGTATGATAATTATATTTTTTAACTTTTTGAGGAACTACCATACTGTTTCCACAGTGGCTACACCATTTTACATTCCCACCACTGTACAATTCCTTTACATCCTCACCAACAATTATTTTCTGCTTTTTCTAAAATTTTTTTTTCTTTATACTGATTTCGATAGATATTTTCTGCTTTTTTTGAGAGTAGCCACCCTAATGGGTGTGAGGTGTTTCATTGTGGTTTTAGTTTGCATTTTGCTAATGATTAGTGATGTTGAGTTTTTTTTTTTTTTCCATGTGCTTGTTGGCCAGTTGTGTATCTTCTTTGAGAAATGTCTATTTCACATTTTTTGGCCCATTTTTGAGTTTTGTTGTTGACTTTTAGGAGTTCTCTATGAAGGCTGAGTAGTCCTTATCCAAAATGCTTAGGACCAGAAGTGTTTTGGATTTTGCATGTTTTGGAATTTCGGATTATTTGCATTAGATGACTGAGCATCCTTAATCCTGAAAGTTCAGAATGTGAAGTGCTCCAGTGAACATTTTCTTTGGGTGTGATGTCAGTGCTCAAAAAGTTTCATTAATTGGAGCATTTTGGATTTTTTCATTAGGGATGTTCAAACTGTATAAGCTATACATTTTTGCATAATTTGATTTTAAAACATTTCAGCCTGGGCGCGGTGGCTCAACCTATAATCCCAGCACTTTGGGAGGCCGAGGCGACAGGATTGCCTGAGCCCGGGGGTTTGAGACCAGCCTGGGCAACTTGGTGAGACCTTTTCTCTACAATACATCACAAAAACTAACCAGACGTGGTGGTGTTCATCTGTAGTTCCAGCTATTTGGAAGGCTGAGGCAGAAGGATGGCCTAAGCCTAGCAGGTTGAAGCTGCGGTGGCTGCAAGTGTGCCACTGCACTCCAGCCTGGATGACAAGAGTGAGACTCCAACTCAAAACAAACAAAAAAACATATTTCAAGTATTTTCCCATGATATTTTATTACAAACCTGTTGAAAATTTCCAAGAACAGTACAGTGAATATTGTTTTACTCTTCTTCTGGATCCCCCCAATTGTTAATGCTTTGCTACATTTGCTTATCCCTCTCTATTTTTTTTTTTTGAGGTTTGTCACTGTTTATTTATGACAAATGTTTCACATCTATGGTCTCTCCAGTCAAAAGTTCTTTGAGACAATGCCATTGGCTGTGGTCAATTGGAGAATGGAGTCATTACACTTGCCCATCTTGCGAATGGCCCCGCAGATAGCATAGGTTTTAAACTGGCCATTAAACTTGCTTGTAACCTTGTCAGCCTCCGCCACATTCATCTGGATGAATGCGTGGTCCTTGGCATCAATGATACGGTTGCTGGTGGAACATTTCTGCAGCATGTACAGGTCCACGAACTCAGTGGTCTCATTCTGCATGTCTAGGCCGCACCTGACACTACCACGCTGCAAGCCCACAGAGAGATATCCCTCTCTATTTTTTAATGAACCATTTGAGTGAATTGCAGACATCGTGACATTTCCTTCCCCAAATATTTAAGCACACATCTGTGCTTAAATATTTGAACAAGAATATTTTCTTACCCAACCCTAGTACAAAAATTATATTTAGAAAATATAACAGTACTGCAATATTACTGGCTAATATTATAATACTACAATAATATTGTAATACCACAATATTATTGGCTAAAATATAGTTCACATTTCCATTTCTCTAGTTGTCTTAAAGATCATATATTGGATTTAGTTATGTCTCCTTAGTCTTTAATCTAGAATAATTCCTAGCCTTTGTTCATCTTTCCTGACACTGACCTTTTTGAAGAGTCCAGGCTAGTTATTTTTCAGAATATTCCGCAATTTGAATTTGTCTTATTGTCAGCAGTTTTTGGCAGTAGTACTACGTGTGCAATTTTTTGTTTGAATTTTAAACAATGAGCATGTACTATTTTTATAAACACAAAGATATAAAAATTTATTTAATATAATGCTTTTGAAAAGCAAATTGGTAATGTGTTTCAAAAGTCTTAACAATTAATGTAGTAATTCTATTCCTAGAAATTTGTCTTGAGGAAACAATCAGATAGAAGTGCAAGGCTATACTCTATGGCATTATGAAAATCGCAATGTGATAATTGATATATCCAATAAATAGAGGTTTGGTTAAAAGTTCAGGGTATGAATATTCTGAACGTCAAAGCTCATAAACGAATATTTTGCAGTTGTTAAAGATGATAAGATATTATTTATATTACTTGGCATTGAAAATGTTCTTCATGTATTGTTTAATATAAAAGTAAATTGTGATACAGTTTAAAACAGATGTAAGATGTCCCCAAAATGTATATTTACATAGCTAAATATGCATATGAAGAAGATTGGAATTTCTGATTGGTAGGATTATAAGTGGTTTTGAAAGCTAATTAGTGGAATTCTGCTGGGGTGGGGGGCACACCTCATCAACAAGGGTACCTGCATAATAAACACCTGTATACTTAACCCTGAATTGTACCTCACATCTTTAAAATTAAAAATAAAAAAAGCCGGGCTCGTGTCTCAGCCTGTAATCCCGCGCCTTGGGAGGCTGAGGTGAGTGGATTGCCTGAGCCCGTGGGTTTGAGACCCGCTTGGGCAGCGAGACCTCATCTCTACAATAAATCAAAAAATTAGCTGGGCATGGTAGCGCATGCCTGTAATTCTGGCTACTCAGAAGGCTGAGGTGGAAGGATCTCCGGAGCCCAGCAGGTCAAGGCTGCGGTGGCCAGGAGTGGCCACTGCACTCCAGTCTGGGTGACCGAGTGAGACTCCAACTCAAAAAAAAAAAAAAAAAAATTGGAAAACTAATTAAAATTAAACTTCTCTTTATTTCTACAATAAACACGTATTATTTATGTATTCAAGAAATGCAAATTTTAGCCCCCTGAGCAACCCAGGTTTGTGGTGATAGTGTAGTATTTTTTCAGATGACAGAAGAGCATGAGGCCCTGCCTTGGGTACCCTATGCCTGCGCTACGGAGTGCATTCATTAGATCACACAAGGAAGAGAGATGTGAGAACATGGAGGATGCTAAGGCTTGAAAGAGGAAGGATCAGGCCAGAGGGTATTAATTGTGGAATTGAGAGTAGTGGCTAGGAAGATCATAGGCACTGGTGGAGGCAGTGGAAAGAATCCTGGAAGCACACAAAAAAGCCTCTAACTGGAAAAAGTTGAAGTTCAAAGGAGATTTTAGAATATCTGCTGGTTGTGGTGGTTGTAGAATTCTAAGTTCAAGATGTTCAGTATGGCTTGTTTAGAGCAGGCAGTTTCCTAGCACATGAGGCAGTGTAGACCTAGACAAAGGTCTAGAGGTCATGTGGCATACGGGGAAGGTAATAGGTATTGGGTTCAAAACCTCATACTCTCCCTTACTAGCTCTGTGATTTTGGGCAAATTTCTTAACTGTTCTTAGCTTTGGTTTCTTCATCTGTTAATTTAGCTACAATCTTTTTGGGAAGATAAGTTGGAAATTTTTTTTGAAGAGGTTACCCCTATAATAAGTTTTGACAAATGTATATGCTCGTGTAATCATTCGTACCTCAAAATATAGAAAATTTCCATCATCCCAGAGATTCTCTGTACCTTTTTTCCTTCAGTCAATCCCTACCCTTCACTCCTGGCCCAGGCAATAACTGATCTGCTTTTTGGAATATATTTTCCTTTTCTAGAGGTTCACAAAAAGGGAATCTATATGACATGTATCCTTTTGTGTCTTGTTTCTTTCACTCAGCATAATGTTTTTGAGGTTCATCTATGTTGTTGCATGTATCAGTGATTGTGTCTTCACTTTTGTTGAGGATGATTCCATTGTATGGGTACAGTTTATTTATCCAATTATCTGCTGATGGGCATTTGGTTTGTTTCCAGATTTTGGCCACTATGCATAAGTTGCTATAAACATTCAAGTACAAATATCTGTGGGGATATATATTTCATTTCACTTGGGTAAATAATCTAGAAGTTGAATTGCTGAGTTGTATGGTAAGAGTATGTTTAATTTTATAAGAAATTACTAAACATTTTTACAAAGTTGTCCCATTTTATCCTCCCACCAACAATGCATGAGAGTTCCAGTTGCTCTTAATTCACGACAACATTGCTATTATTAGACTTAATTTTTAGCCATTCTAGGGGGTATGTTATGGCATTTTATTTATTTATTTTTTAGGGGAGGCTGGGATCTTACTCTGTTGCCCAGGCTGGAGTGCAGTAACATAAACATGGCTCACTGCAGCCTTGACCTCCTGGGCTCGGGAAGTTCTGCCTCAGCCTCCTAAGTAGCTGGGACTACAGGTGTATGCCACCACACCCAGCTAATTTTTTCAATTTTTTTGTGGAGAGGAGGTCTATTGCTATGTTGCCTAGGCTGGTTATTGTGGTTTTAATTATAATGATGGGTGACTAATATCGTTGAGCATCTTTTCATGTGCTTATTGACAATTTGTGTATTTTTTTATGGTAAAGTGCCTGTTCAAATCTTTTGGCAACATATTAAAAAATATGCTCTTTGGTCCAGCAATTTTACTTCTGTAGAAATGAAAGTACCACCAATGTGCAGTGGATGAGAACAGGAACTGGGAACAAATCAAACCAATGGGAGAAAGACTGAATGAACTGTGGTATACATAGGCTATGTGCTGCTATCAAAAAGAATGTGACAGTGCTCTACCAGATGTCTTTGAGGACATGCAGCAAGTAAAGCTGAATGAAAAAAGCAAAATGAGAAAAAGGGTGTAATACAGGGGATGTCCTGTATACACACTTTAAGAAAGGAAAAAACTATATTAAAATTGCGATACTCAGTAAGATGGATACAAGTCACTTTTGACTTCTGTAATTGCAAGAGGTGTTCAGAGCGGTTACCATCAGCATCCAGACACTTCTGATTATGGTGCACATCTCTTAAAATGTGTATACATTTTTTTGGCAACCCCAGTATTATCACAAATGTTGACCAAAGAAAACTCTTTCTCTTTTTCCTTTTTTCCTTATAATGGACTGTATTAATAAGAAGAAAAATAAGAAAGGACATATCAAGTTGTTAAACTAGTTTACCTGGGGTTTGGGCAGGATAGAGTGGGCTCTGATGTTGGGGGGTGGGAAGTGTCCACAACGAAACTACATCTTTGTTTATGTGACATTATGTCTGAAAAGAAAAAGAATTCCATAGTTAAGTGAAGTATATGCAAGTTACCTACTTAAATAGTAAATAGAAACCCATGGAAGGTAGTAAATAGAAACCCATGGAAGGTAGGTAGTACAGTACTTCCATTTGTTAAAGGTTAACTCCTGAGAACAAGAGATGGAATCCAAGAATAGACTTACCCTGTCAGTAATAAAGATGGGTTTGATTTTGGGCATTTTTGAAAATGCCTATTAGATGGTCTGCATTCTGTGACCTTTTTTATGTGGAGGAATGGGCCACAGGGATGATGAGGTCAGGAAGAGTGTGCATGACAGCAGAAACTTGTGCCTGTGGAGTTATGGGCATTTGGCAGTGTAGCTTGGCACCCGCTGATAGGCTTACTGAGGAGGAACTTCCTCCCTCTTTTAACAATGCTTTTCTTCTGTTACTTGGTGGCTCTCTAGGACCTCTAAGGGAGAGATCCCTTTCTTCAGTTCTGGGAGGACATGTTACCTTCTCTTTACTCTTTGTTCACGGTCATTTTCAATTTTTCAATTCCATCCCCAGGATCACGTCTATGAACTTCTTAACACCATCGATGCCTGCCAGTGCCATTTTGATATCGTAAGATCCTTTTGCAATTCTCTTCTATTGTAGAACCCAAGGAATAGTCAGGTAGTTGGGACAGAGTGGGTTGGGATGGAACTGGAAAAACGGCTATTTCATTTGTTCCTTCTCAGGACTGTAATTGTTTTGTGAAAAGTACTGAAGTTAAAATGTATTTATATGTTAAGCAGGTCAGCAAGGTGATTAAGTAAATACAAAAGTTACACAAAAATCTTTCTCTGCCTCCTCCATTTCCTAATTGCTGCCTTATTTCCTTTCCTCTAAATATTTTGAGCTCATTTTTAGCCTCTGATTTTTGTTCTTCTTTTCAATCCTGTCGGTTTCTTTTTCTAAGTGGACCCATGCAGAGTCTGTTTAGCACTGTTTGGAGTGGTTTGGGATTATAGGGAAGTCTAGAAAAATGGACCATGCTGTCCTTGGGTTCCTCTGTATTTTCCTTGTAGAATCTCAACTTTGACTTCACTCGGAGTTACCTGGACTTGATTGTGACTTACACCTCAGTTATTTTACTTCTGTCTCGGATTGAGGATCGACGGGTACTCATTGGCATGTACAACTGTGCCCATGAGATGCTACATGGGCATGGGTGAGTTAAGGGGATGTATTATAGGGAGAATCCCATTCATGGTG